CCGTGGCCTTGGTGTTATCAGCACCGCACTCTACCGAGTGAGCCACGGGCCGGCCTTGCTCTTTCATCTTACCTGTTCTGTTCTTTTCCTAAACTAAATTCTCAGAATGGCAATAGACCTTAAAGTCTATGTTGGCAGCCCCAAGTGTTTGATCTACTAAAAAAATTATATTCTTTTGCTCTGTTGTTTCAAAGTTAATCTTTTTTCAAGGGTCTTAGGTTTGGCAGCCCATTCATATCTTGCCATGGCAATCGTGTATGACATTTATGAAACAAAAGTTCATTCAGAGGACTTTAGTCCAAGTCTACCTCAGAGGGGTACTGAGGTCTTCTTGTTTTGCCTATTGGAATGGATCCAAGTGAACTTCTCATGCTCTCGTTGCATATCCATGGCAGTACCTTTTGTTTTTTGTATATAGTCCAAAAATGCACTTTGTAGAATGTTTCTCCCTTGCTGGAGAACAAATCCTGCTCTCTTAGGGAAAAATCACCTGATTTAGTTCAATAGGGTTTTATATTTATTTCCAGGAGCCATTTCATTTGTTTGATAACTAAATTTATACCCCAATGAAAGAAATAAGTAATATTGCTTAAGCGTCAGAGTGTAAATTCACTCCCTCTCCACCAGTACTTAACACATATGTACAGAGTTCTCTAATACTTCTTTTTATAATGGAAGAAATATTTATCTGCCAAGTAAAATTAATGAACAATAATAAAATGTATACTTGTAAAATGCTTTACAATTTAAAATGTACTTTCTCATGCATATTCTCAAGTAATTACCACAACAACCCTGTGAGATAAGTTATCCCTATTTGATAGATGAGGAAACTGAGGCTCGGAGACATGAAGCTTCACAACTACTAAGTGCAGATCCAGACCTTAAAACCAAGTCCCCTGACTCCCAAGCCCATGTTTTCTCTCCATGGCTTTCTGCTCCGTGATTAAAATAAGTGCCGCACTGGTGAACAAAGATAGACCTTCTTATTACTTATTAAACAATTTGATACCAAAATTTGATTTCTTTCCAATACACAAAAATTTTTTCTAAATCTACCTTGATAATGAGGTGTTTAGCACTTCTTATTTTATTTAAATGAATTCCCATTTTTCTCATGTTAAGGAGCCCTGCCTCTGTGGGTGGGTGGGGTAGTTTGGGGGGCAGGGGTAGTCTGGAGCACTTTAGTGATGATACAGTGCTGGGTTACAGGGCTGAGTGTGTGAGAACTGACTTGACCTCTAGGATAGGAGGAGCTGCTCTTGGGCTAAGTGGGACCTCCCACTGCTGCCCTGGGGTCTAGGCTTTCCTGCCACTGTCACAGCTCTTGGAGGATCAATGTAAAAAGAAGAAAGTCTAGCACCGGCCAAGCTTCCAGAATGCTCCTTGAAGCAAGGCATGGTAGACAGAACTAAAGCCTGTCAAACTGCAGGTCATAGAGCAGCTTAGACTCTAGAACAACAGTTCCATGTTCCCTCTAATGAGGAGATTAAGTAATTTCACACTATTTTACCAACCTCCAAAGTTTTTATTCATCAGAGGTTCTTAATCAAATGGCTTCAGGGCATCCATAAACCCTTGAAATTTTATGAAAATGTGTATATTTGCATACATATTTATTTCCTGGGGACATAATAGCCTTTATCTCAAAAGGGTCTATGATCATAAACAAGCTTAAGAAGGTGCTTGGCTTCTATGAAAAACTAGTATTACTTTCAGTGATAGAAATGAGAGCTTTAAAGGTGATGGTTAAGTGTTTTATTAGCACTGAACCAGGTACAACTCATTCACCTTTAGGAAAATAATTTTCAGAGGTTAAGGAATCACAGAGAGAAATTATAGAGCCACTGGAGTTTTAATCACCTGATAATATCAGAAGTTGGTAAGACCATGATAACACATGCTAAAATGGGAAGAATAAGGGGAGTAAATCTTATTTTTAATCACTTAGTTAAATATTATTAATCAATTATGATGACAAGTGTTGACATTGAGTTTTTTTTTTTATATATACAGGTGCTGATGTTATAAAAAATGATGGAATTTATTCGAGGTATTTTTTCTCCTTTGCTGTAAATGGTAGCTATAGCTTGAAAGTGCATGTCAGTCACTCTCCCAGCATAAGCACCCTAGCCCACTCTATTCCAGGGAGTCATGCTATGTATGTACCAGGTTACATAGCAAACGGTAAGAACCATTAGCACTGTTAACATTAGTAACATCATTTCATGTATATTTCTCTGATGTGTGTGTGTGTGTGTGTGTGTATTAAGGGAATGAGAGACAGAGAAGTGAGGGAAAGAGAGGTGGAATTTCAAAACTCATTATACTGAAGTCAATACATAATTTGTTGACTGTCTCTTCAATCCTCAATGATTTATGGCAGTTGGTAAGGGGAAGGCAGCAGGTAATTCCTATAGATTTTGCGTACCTTTATTTTAGTCATTATTTTGACCTCTTTTTTGTTTCATCAGAATTACTAACAGATAAAGAGATTACTGAGTTTTCTCAGTTCCTGCTCCCGTATTTCCTTCATAAAGGTTTAGGCAAGACATGAGCTTGGATGTTGCAGACAACTGAGTGATTCCTGAGGATGATGTCTTCCTTGAAGATACAAGGGCTAAATAAATAAAAGACACATATATTTTTTAAAAAACACCATTATTATAGTTTCTGATAAGAAGCAGTGTTTAAAGAATAACAGACAAACAGAAATATATTACGCTCTTGTCTTTATATTTTTTAAAAAACACCATTATTATAGTTTCTGATAAGAAGCAGTGTTTAAAGAATAACAAACAGAAATATATTATGCTCTTGTCTTTAAAAAAAAAAGTTAAAAAAAAAAACATTTCTAAGCATTTTTATTTCCAAAAATGCAGATTCTNGTGTTTAGCACTTCTTATTTAAATGAATTCCCATTTTTCTCATGTTAAGGAGCCCTGCCTCTGTGGGTGGGTGGGGTAGTTTGGGGGGCAGGGGTAGTCTGGAGCACTTTAGTGATGATACAGTGCTGGGTTACAGGGCTGAGTGTGTGAGAACTGACTTGACCTCTAGGATAGGAGGAGCTGCTCTTGGGCTAAGTGGGACCTCCCACTGCTGCCCTGGGGTCTAGGCTTTCCTGCCACTGTCACAGCTCTTGGAGGATCAATGTAAAAAGAAGAAAGTCTAGCACCGGCCAAGCTTCCAGAATGCTCCTTGAAGCAAGGCATGGTAGACAGAACTAAAGCCTGTCAAACTGCAGGTCATAGAGCAGCTTAGACTCTAGAACAACAGTTCCATGTTCCCTCTAATGAGGAGATTAAGTAATTTCACACTATTTTACCAACCTCCAAAGTTTTTATTCATCAGAGGTTCTTAATCAAATGGCTTCAGGGCATCCATAAACCCTTGAAATTTTATGAAAATGTGTATATTTGCATACATATTTATTTCCTGGGGACATAATAGCCTTTATCTCAAAAGGGTCTATGATCATAAACAAGCTTAAGAAGGTGCTTGGCTTCTATGAAAAACTAGTATTACTTTCAGTGATAGAAATGAGAGCTTTAAAGGTGATGGTTAAGTGTTTTATTAGCACTGAACCAGGTACAACTCATTCACCTTTAGAAAAATAATTTTCAGAGGTTAAGGAATCACAGGGAGAAATTATAGAGCCACTGGAGTTTTAATCACCTGATAATATCAGAAGTTGGTAAGACCATGATAACACATGCTAAAATGGGAAGAATAAGGGGAGTAAATCTTATTTTTAATCACTTAGTTAAATATTATTAATCAATTATGATGACAAGTGTTGACATTGAGTTTTTTTTTTTATATATACAGGTGCTGATGTTATAAAAAATGATGGAATTTATTCGAGGTATTTTTTCTCCTTTGCTGTAAATGGTAGCTATAGCTTGAAAGTGCATGTCAGTCACTCTCCCAGCATAAGCACCCTAGCCCACTCTATTCCAGGGAGTCATGCTATGTATGTACCAGGTTACATAGCAAACGGTAAGAACCATTAGCACTGTTAACATTAGTAACATCATTTCATGTATATTTCTCTGATGTGTGTGTGTGTGTGTGTGTGTATTAAGGGAATGAGAGACAGAGAAGTGAGGGAAAGAGAGGTGGAATTTCAAAACTCATTATACTGAAGTCAATACATAATTTGTTGACTGTCTCTTCAATCCTCAATGATTTATGGCAGTTGGTAAGGGGAAGGCAGCAGGTAATTCCTATAGATTTTGCGTACCTTTATTTTAGTCATTATTTTGACCTCTTTTTTGTTTCATCAGAATTACTAACAGATAAAGAGATTACTGAGTTTTCTCAGTTCCTGCTCCCGTATTTCCTTCATAAAGGTTTAGGCAAGACATGAGCTTGGATGTTGCAGACAACTGAGTGATTCCTGAGGATGATGTCTTCCTTGAAGATACAAGGGCTAAATAAATAAAAGACACATATATTTTTTAAAAAACACCATTATTATAGTTTCTGATAAGAAGCAGTGTTTAAAGAATAACAGACAAACAGAAATATATTACGCTCTTGTCTTTAAAAAAAAAGTTAAAAAAAAAAACATTTCTAAGCATTTTTATTTCCAAAAATGCAGATTCTTTATGAATATTATGTATTTCAGCAGTTATAACTAATCATTTGGACTATTTCATAACATGATTCTATATTTTTTGTTCTATATGATACTTTTCAGTAGAAAATAATCAAAATGCTATAGTGGATTTGCATCTTCTGATCTTTTTTGTGTAGCATAAAACACAATTTACTCTCACCTGTATTTAAAATAATGTGGATTGCTTCAGAACCAATGAAAATCAACTTGCAAAGTAATGTGGTTTTATTGCATACATATGATTTTGTATCTAGATGTAATGCTTTGTTTCCAAATAGATGTTCCCTTTTTAATTTATACATAACATTTTTGAAGACCTACTAGGTGATAGGCTTAGTTTTAGGAACTTGGAATACCAAGTAGAATCAGATTTGATTCTTATCAAGGAGCTTGCAGGCTACTGACTTATCTTAGTATCTTGTTAAAGGATGCAAATATCAATACCTAGTGTACAGTGATATTAGAAAAGTAATGTTCAACTATACTTTAATCTGTGTACTTCGCATAGGCCATTCATGTAAGAGCACAGAAAAGAAAAATTTAGGTTTCCCTAGACATGCCTACTGTATGAAACATTCACTTTATCAGCTGATATTCAGATGATGACCTTGCATGCACATTTCACCGAATAATGGGAGCTGCTCTATTTTCACACCACCAAATCTCCAGACACAGCAGCATCTGCATCCTCCCTTCCTCCCCTCCTCAAAGGCCAGTGACTCTGCTGGATCCCACCCTGGGGCTGTAAGAATTCTCCCTTGCATGTTCCCTCTCTATTGACCCCTCTGAGCAGCATTCAAGCATGTTTTATTACCTCCCATATTAAAAATTTTGTTTTGCTGGTCCCCCTCCAGCTCTATCTACCTCCCAACTCCCTATCATCCAATTCCTTCTAATCTAAACCCGCTGCCTATACTTTCTGACGTCCAATTTACTACTCTGCTCACTGCAATCTGACTTCCATCCAAACCACTCCACTGGAATTGCTGTGGGCCTCGTCACCGATGACCACCCTGCTGTTAAATCCAAAGGACACATTTCCGTTTTCATTTTCGTGACCTCAGCAGTATCTGACTCAGCCAGTTGATCTCTCCTTTGCCATGTCTTAGTTTCCATGATACCACACTCTCCTGATTACCTCCTACTCTCTGGAATTTTTTTGTTAGGCTCTCTTTCCAGTTGCTCCTTTTCTACTAGGCCTCTAAATGTTGGCAATTATCAGAGTCAGTTCTAAACTTCTCATTCTACCATATGGAGCCACATTGTTTGGGTTTGAAACCAGCTCCTCCATTTCCTAGCTGTGTGACTTGGGCAAGTTGCTTAACTTCTGTGTCTCAGTTTCATCATCTATAAAAATGGGGGTAATTATTTTATACCATTCTCATAGCCTTTTGGGGAAAAGTAAATATTTGATACATGTAAGGTACTTAGAAAAATGCCTGGCACATAGTTGGCACTCAAGAAATACTAGTTATCACTATGATTTAAAACATTAGGTAATCTTATTAATCCATATGACTTGAATAACATCTATATGCCCATAACTTCCAAGTTCACAACTTTAAAATTATTATATCTAGCTAAAACCTCTTTTTTGAGCTTAAAATCCATTTATAACTGGCTCATTGACATCTTGAATTAGATGCTTTACAGGAATCACAAGCCCTGTAACTTAATTTTTGGTCTCTCTCTCCTTAGCCTCCTTCTCCTCCCAAAGTGTTCATATTAGAAACCTGGGAGCTATTTATTTATTTATTTATTTGCAACTTTCTCTCTCTTTTGCCATTTCATATTCAAATTTATCATAAGCTTTTGCTGATTTTGTCTCCAAAATACATTTTGAACCACCTCTTTCTTGCCTCCTTTCCACTACTCTCGCCCATCCCAAGCTGTCATCTTCTCTCATCTAACTATTGAATGGCCATCTAAGTAGACTCATTTTCAGTTCTCCACCAAGCAGCCAGAGTGACCTGTTTAGAGAGGAAATATGATCCCGTCACTCCCCTGCTCCCTGTAGCATGTAAGATTAAAACCTAAACCTCTTCACTAGCCCACAAGGTCCTGCACAAATTTCTCTCTTCTGTCTCATCTCTAACCACTCTCATTTCTTTAATTTAGTGTTTCTAATTTAATTTTAGCTCCTCACGGTTTTTACACAAGCTATTCCCTCTGCCTGGGATGTTCTTTCCTCCACTCTTTACCTGGCATCCTTTAGGAAAATCTTTCAATGTTACTTCCTTGATAACACTCTAAATTATGGACCTGTGCTATTTTCTTTCATAGTACCATTTTTTGCCTCTTAAAGTTATCACAATTTGTGAATATATGTTTATTAATATGATTAACATGAGTATAAATTCCATTAGGGATACTGTTTTGTCCATGATTACTGGCACAACATATGTGCTCAATAAATATTTATTGAATGAATGAATAGGTGAATGAATTAATTATTGAATAAACAGTTATTCTAAAAATTTAGTAAAGAAATAAAGGTTTAAAAGTCTCTTAATAACCTGTCAAGAACAAGCTATCAAGAAGATTTGTAATTTTTTTGTTTTGGCTATTCCTTTTGCATGTGTCCCAGGTAATATTCAGATGAATGCCCCAAGGAAATTACTGGGCAGAAGTGAGGAGGAACAGAAGTGGGGCTTTAGCCGAATAAGCTCGGGGGGCTCCTTTTCAGTGTTGGGAGTTCCAACTGGTCCGCATCCTGATGTGTTTCCACCATGCAAAATTATTGACCTGGAAGCCGTAAAAGTGGAAGAGGAGGTGACTCTATCTTGGACAGCACCTGGAGAAGACTTTGATCAGGGCCGGGGTATGTTTACTGGTTTCATACCTATTTTTCCATAGGACAGCATTTCTAATACTATGTCAGGGGTTAGTTAGGTGAAAATCAACTTGGGTGTTTAGAGCTGAAAAAGCTGCAGAAGGTCGTCATGAAAAGCTCTGAGCCCCTGATGAGGCCTTAAATCCTGGAGTCCAGGAACGAGAGTGAGTCAGCTGCCCCAGGTTTGCAAAGGCTCTGGGTAACTCACTGACACTAATCATGCATAAAGAAACCTTTATTGGAAATATAAACACCACATGTTATGGTGGTATACTCAGCAGAAATGGGTTCTGCGTTACAGAGCATGTGCTTCCAAATGCTGGAGGTGGTTAGATTTCTGAAAATTAAATAGTGAATATTTATTCATACATACATAAAAGTATTTACAAGTCAGGTTTAGGGGAACATTTCCCATAACTCATGGAAACTTTGGTACATTTTCCTCTCCCACTTCTGGCCATTTTTGTTAGGGTGGCTGGGACTGGTCCACTGATTTGTGGCTTTCTTACCCTTGCTTGGGTAGACATGGACATTGATTGAGCACCTCCTTGTATTTTCTTCTTTCTAAGGCCTATGCTAACTTTCAGGCTTCCACCTCCATCTTCTTTTTCCAGCTTTTATCCAATTGTCACAACATGTATTGAGAAAATTTTACTTTCCCCATTAATTTGAATTTCATCTTTATCATATACTAAGTTCCTGATGTATTTTGGCCTATTTGGGATATTAGTCTATTTATGTACCCATACCATAGTGTTTTAGTTATTAAGGTATATTAGTGTTTTATATTTGGTAGGGTTAGTCCTTCCACATTGCTGTTTTTTAGATTTATATGCCCATTTTTGATTATTTATTTCCCACATGAACTTTACAATAAGCTTGACTAGTTAAAGAAACTAGAGGCATTTTTAATAGAATCACATAAAATTTACAAAATAACGAGGAAAAATAACATCTTGCTTTTATTGAATGTTGCTTTAAAAAAAACCAGAAGTTTTCTTGTTTAGGTTTTACTATGAGTTCTTATGGAGTGTTTTAAAGTTTTGCTCATATTTATTTTTCTTATTATGTTTATTCCTAGGTATTTTGACTTTTTTGTTGCTATTCTCATTAGGCATTTCTAAGAGACTAGAAAATTTACTCAAGGTGTCTTAACCTTCCCATTTATATTTTTTAATTTCAGCTACAAGCTATGAAATAAGAATGAGTAAAAGTCTACAGAATATCCAGGATGACTTTAACAATGCCATTTTAGTGAATACGTCAAAGCTAAATCCTCAGCAAACTGGCACCAGGGAGATATTTACATTCTCACCCAAACTTTTCACAAATGGACCTGAACATCAACCTGCTGGAGAGATACAAGAAAGCCACAGAATTTATGTGGCGATACGAGCAATGGATAGGAACTCCTTAAAGTCTGCTGTATCTAACATTGCCCAGGCATCTCTGTTTATTCACCCAAATTCTGCTCCCATCCTTGCCAGAAATCACCTTATATTGAAAGGAGTTTTAACGGCAATGGGTTTGATAGGAATCATTTGTCTTATTATAGTTGCAACGCATTGTACTTTAAACAAGAAAAAGAGAGTAGACAAGAAAGAATGGAACAAAATTAGTATGAACAAATGTAGAGTACCTTCCCTCTTAGATATGTGACCAGGTAGATTGATTTAGCTTATGCCATTTTTACTGTTTGAAAAGTGTTCTTGTTTGAAAGCCCCCGACACCTGTGGTGAAAACTGAAGGTTAAAAATTGTCCTGTACTTAGAAAAATTTTAAGTTCTGCCTGCCTTTGCTGTCTCCTGCCTATGCTGTCCCTGACTGATAACACCAAGAACTGTATCTGGATGTATCTAGACAACCTAAGGAGGAAACCACCCTGTGAAAGTTTTTGCCATCCCTGAGCAA